AACCCTGGGGCTGTGGGTGGGGGCTGCACGGGGGTGGGGGAGGTGGGTGGTGGAGAAGGGGCAGAAAAATGTTGCTTGACTGCTGTGGAGGCGGCTGGGCCCGGGCCTGTGCCCGCCCGCCTGTCCTGTCCTGCTCTGTCTAACTCCCTAATTACTGCTACCCCTCCCCCAGTCCCTACTCCCACCCCAACCACCACATCAAAGCCAGTGATGCCCCAGCTCCATTAACCCCTGCCTCCCCACCACCCACCAGCCACCCTATACCACCACCAGCACCACCCCCTTTCCCACCCCAATTTGGTTCCCTCTGCCCTGTCCTGGGCACTGCCCTTCCCACCTCCTCACACTTCTCTCCTTCCCATCCTCACCATACAAGAGGGCTTCCTATTGATCAGGGCTGTGCAAGGCTAAAGAGTAGACACATTGAACCTCCTACTGGTCCCCCCCCACCCCCCAGGACAATCTGTGCTTTCTGCTCTCCCATACTTAGGTGGGGGCAGGGATGGGGGAGGCCCAGTACCCCTTTTCTGAGGCCCACACCCAATGGCACCCAGGGTGAGATCCTCAGCAGGAGGTAGGCTCCTGGCTCCCACCCTCAGCTGCCTGCATTCTGTGTGTCTTCTGGCCATCTCCTATCCCTGGACTTTGCTGGACTTCTTACTATAAGTGACAAGATGAGACCAGATGATCTATATATAAGACCTTTCTCAGTCTCATTTCTGAATTAAATGGAGGGCTCGGAGCTGGAGGAGCCAGCCAAAGAGGCCAGGTGGAAAGTGGGAGAACCCTCCCAGCAACCTTTCCCTTCCTCAGGTGGTCCAGGGCAGCGCCTAAGATCTCCTCCCATCCCACTGCAGGCAGGAAAGAGGGCGCAGGCTAGAGGACTCTTACCCAGTCCCCAGGGACAGGCTTCTGTGTTCCCTGAGTGCCTCCTGCTCTGGCTGGCTGGGTGCCTGCTGCCAGCCTGACCCAGGCCTGGCTGCCTGCCCCGCCCTGGCCTCATCCCCTCCACAGCTGCATTTCTTCATCAAAGTACACATTTGAATCCCCCTCACTGAGCCCTGGTGATCAAGCCTCCCTCTGACCTCCCCCCACCAACTGCTGGCTTCTGATGAGAGCTGGGCAGGAGGGGGCTGGCACCTCCCAGGAAGTGTCACGGTGCCAGGACTCTGGTGGGCTCAGGGCATGCTCTGGCCCAGACTGAGCCAGCCTCCTTTTGCCCCTGCCCTTTTCTGCTCACAGCCCCATTGTCTTCCTCCAGGGGAAGCTGCCAAGGCAGGAGGCCTGGAGGGTGGGACTGGATGACCACCCCACCCCCATCCCCACCGCACCCTGAGCTTGGCAAGGACCAGCAACAGGACTGCCCACAAAGGGTGAGGGCCCCAGATAAAGGTGGGATGGGAAAGGGTGGCCAGGTCCAGCGTGGGGTGGGGGTCACAGCTGGAAAACCCAGGCTTCAGGAAGGAGCCTTGTCTTTTCCCTGTCTCCCTGTGGGGCCAGATATGAGGCTATCTTAGGCCCATGGTTCCTGTTTCTATAGGAAGGGGGTGGTGGTGAAAGGCAAGATGAGATGGGGGAACAGGGTGGAATTGGGTGGTGTTTTTCCCAGTGGAACAAGGGGAGAGTTAGTTTCTTTCATAGGATATATAAAACAGAAAGAGGAAAAGAGAAAGAGGGAGATTAATTTGGCTATTCTGTGAAAGTGAGCTATTTTCTACAACCACTAATTAAAGGATAAATAAAGATGGGTCAGACATTAAGAAGAACTTTCAGGGTGGGACGGTCAGGGAACAGGTAGAAGGGAGCTGGTGAGTAGGAAGCTATAGTCTCTTCCTCTCTCTGACTCATTCTCAACATGGGGTCTGTCAGGGGCAGCACATTGGCTGGACAAGACAGCCTGGTCAGTGTCCTGGAATCTTGGATTCTGAAATTCACAAGGATACAGTTTTAGATGTGAGAGAGACAGGCAAAGAGGCTGGGGCAGAGTTTAGAAGGCATCAGTTCCATCAGGGGAGCAAGGGGGAGAGGGACAGAAGTGAGAGAGAAATCTTTGGAACCAGGAGCCAGGTCCCTGAGCCTATTCCAGGGTTGGGGCCACTCCCCTCCAGGAAGGACCCTCCTTTCCTAACCAGGTTAGTCCTGTCATTCATAGTTCCTGGGCTCCTCTCTGCTCCCAGTCTGGCCACTGCTGGAATGTCAGAGCGGATTGCAGGGAGCTGCTGCAGGTCGCTGCTTCCTGCTCCACCACTAGTGCCCTAACCTGAGAAGTAGGGAGAAGAGGGCCAGGAAGTAGGTCCTAGACATCAGAGAACAGCCTAGAAGTCCCTGGCCTGAAGAAGCTCCTAGCCAAAGTGAAGCTGGAGGGTGAGGGTGAAGTAGAGTGGCAGGAGCCTCAGGCCACTTGGGATGCTGGGTCTGGCCCATCAGCCCATTCCTGATTTTGGAGGGCAGTGATGGGTGTGGTGGGAACAGGAGTGTAAGCAATCAGAGTCAAAGGTCCTGAGAATGGGAATCTGGGCTCAGACCAAAAGAATTAAGTATCAGAAACAGACAGAGGGGAGCGAAGGGCCAAGGCAGGCAGGAGAGGCAGGTTCTATCTGAGAAGCATCTGAGTGAGGCAGTCTCTGGACATCTTATCAGCCCAGCCCCTCACTCTTCACCCTGCTTGCCCTGCAGCTGTGGCCATGAAGGCTTCTGTGTTCTCCCACACCTGCCCTCCTCACCTCCTCCCCCACTCCTTGCTTCCCAGTTTCAGGGTCAGTCTCCAAGGGAGCAGGTCTCCCTCCCCCTGGTTTGGCTCTTACCCAGCAACCCTTCCTGAACAAAAGCACCACCACAGATACAAATCCCAGAAAAGTGAATCAACCCACCAGTAAACACTCCATAAAACTGTCCCCAGCACTTTTAGCCTCCAGGGCCCCAAGGCTCTGGTTTCCAAGACCAGGGAAGAGAGACACAAGAGGAGATGGTTGTCAAAATGCAGGAACTGGCATAGTTGCCCAATGCATGGGATGGTGCATTGGGAGCACAGAGAAGGCAAGGGAGAGAAGACAGGGGGACAGCTTCCTGGAGGAAGTGTCATTTTAGTCAGAAGGATGAGAACAATTTGGACAAATGGAGAGAGGGGGGAGGTAAGGCAACAACTCTCAGGGAGAAACCCTGTCCCACCCTGAGCGAGGGCAAAGTTAAGAAAGGTTTTGGAGCCGAAACCAGTTTGGCTCAGTGGTAGAGCGTCGGTCTGCGGACTGAAAGGTCCCAGGTTCCATTCCGGTCAAGGGCATGTACTTTGGTTGCGGGCACATCCCCGGTAGGGGGTGTGCAAGAGGCAGCTGGTCGTTGTTTCTCTCTCATCAACATTTCTAGCTTTCTATCTCTCCCTTCCTCTCTGAAAAAAATCAATAAAAAATAATAAAAATAATTAAAAAAAGGAAAGGTTTTGGAGAGTAAAAGAGAGATCCCCTTTACCAAGTTTTGTTTGGGACCCTGGACTTTAAACTTAAATGAATATCCCTTTACACTGAGGAGAACCTGGGGTGTGGAGGAGGGAACTATGTTTAAGGAGTGCCTCCCAATGTCAGATAATTTTGCAAATCATCCCACCTAATGCTCTGACTAAGCCTGCCAGGTAGAGGGATTGTCTCCCAGTTTTATGGCTGAGACGTTGTGGGGCAGTGGAAAAAAGTGACCTGCCCAAGGGTAGCAGATTTAACAAAAGGAGCAGGTTAGATCTCAGGTCTATTTCAAAGCTGCTACTGGATTATGCTAAGACCTAAGCAAGGGACACATATTGCCTAGCTGGAACCTGGGTCGTCCTCAATTTGCCCCCTCACTGACACCCGAAGGGATGCTCTCTCGCCAGCAGCTCCCGGTGTGGGCATCCTCCTTTCCATTTCCCTAGAAGAGACAGTTCTGCCTACTTCACCCCTCCTTCCAAATCCTGGGATGGGGAGGAGTGGAGTGTAGAGAATCCAGCCAATGGCATGGCTATATGCAAATAGGCACGACCCTTCCTTCTTAGGATTGGCTGATATCGGCCAAGTCCCTCCTCTCTTGACACTAAGCTATTCCGGGGTGGTTTTGCTGCCCAGGAGACTGGAAAGGAAAAAGTCCGCGGGACCCACATATCCGAATGGTCCTGACTTGGCACCCACCTTCCCAGTCCCTTCTCCAAGACTCAAAATTCCTGCACCCTTCGCTGCCTAGGTGTCTGCTCTAGCTAAGGCCAGTTCCGGAGAGATGTCTTCATTTCTTAGTTGACCAAGCCTCCCTCCCTTCCACCGGACCCTCCCGGGTTCCTGAGCTGCACCTTTACTTGACCCTTGATCCCATATCCGCAAGGTCCAGGCGCCTGGGTCCCTCTCCTGCCTGGGTCCCTCCTCCCCGAGCAGAGAGCCAAGGTCCTGACTCAGTTTCCCCTTTCCGTCCCTTTCCTGCCACTACCGCCCACACTGAAGGAGCTCAGAGAGAAGTAGGTAGATTTCTGGGCAAAGTGGGGAGGGGGGGGAAGGCAGCTGTTTGACTCTGCTTATGACTTCCTACCTTGTTCCTCCCCCCCACCCCCCAATCTAGTCCAACTCCCCTAAACCCAGAGCCCTCCTCGCAAGTTCTTTTCTTCGGATCTCTAACGACAGATCTTCTTCCCCCCTCTGTCTCCCAGGTAGCTTTTCCCTACCCACCCACCAAATTCCTCAGTGACCTGGACTGAGCGCATAACCTGGGAGGGAGCTGGCGTGTAGGGCACGGGCGGGAGGAGGAAACACAATAGAGTGTGCGGGGGGGGGAGTGGGGGGGTTGGAGGAGATCAGAGCCGCCCAAGCGGTAGGTGAGAAGTGCCACGGGTGGAGGCCGGCGGGAGAGCGGTACGCACCTCCCCCGCACCGCCCCGGCGGCGCGCAGGTAGAGCCGGGAGGCAGCGGGACCGCGGTCCGGAGCCATCCGTCGCGAGGTCCCCACCCTCGAGCGCCGGGAGCCGCACCGCGACAGCGCGCTGCAGCACTCACCACCACAGTCCGCCGACGTGCGCGGGACACAGGAGCAGCAGCAGCAGCAGCCCGAGGCGGGAGGGTAGGGGCGGCAGCATCGTGACCGCTCTGCCGCCAGCCGGTGCGGGCAGGGGGCGGGGGGGCTTGGCTGCGGGGCCAGTCGGTGCACGCGGGGCCCGGGCTTCAGGGCGAGTGCGGCTCCGGCGGCGGCCGGGAGGCGACGGCTCCGGCGGCGGCGGCGGCGGCCGCGGGGGGGCCCATCCCGGGCGACGAGGGCGCGGCGGAGGCGGAGAGCGGACGGGGCAGCCAGCGCCTGAGTCTCCTGCCGAGCTCGCTCGGGAGAAGAAATCAGAGCCGGGGGCAGGGGAGGGAGGGGAGCGGGCCCGGGCGGGGGCGGGGGCCGCGAGGTTGTCGGGGTGGCAGTTGCGACAGTCGGGCGGCGGGACTCTCGGGAGGGAGCCGGGAGCCCCGGGGCGGCGGGCGCAGCGCCGCGGAGGGCGGGAGCGAGGGTCCGGGGCGGGGCCGCGCTCGTGGCCGCCCGACCCGCCCGCCTCGCCCCCTCACCACGCCTCTCGCGGAATGGGAGCCCCCCGCCGTCGCGGGAGTCGGGGGCAAGGAGGGCGGGGAAACAGGGTGGAACGGGGTGGGGTGGGGGTGGCGGGGAGAAGAGGAGCTGAGGAATGGGGGACGGGCTGGAAGGGAGACGTTTGACAGGTTTGTTGACTGTAAAGAGAGAAAACTTCCCAGGAATGAGGGAGTTTGGGTGGGTGGGGGGCGGGGGCGGGGCGGGGAGGGTGGTGCGGGCGATGCCAGAGCGGGGGGCCGGACGAGGAAGTCCGCCTGGGGCTCTGGATGCTCCCGGGAGGGGTGTCTATGGAACTAGAGGGTAGGGACGGGCGGACCCAGGAGGGGGTCACCCCTCCGCCCCTCACGCCCCTTTCTCAGCCTTTCCTGCAGAAAAGGAAGAAGCCCTAGGCCTCCACTCTGGCTCCCCAGCCACCCCGCCTCTTCAAGCCCGAGTGCAGGGGAGGGAGGTACGGAGGGGAGATTAGACAGCAAGAGGAACCTCTCCACGGTCCGCGCTCCAGCTCTTCAGACTAAGGAGCGAGCGATAGAGCAGAGGTTGCAGAATAGCAAGAGATTGAGGGGTCATAGAGAGAGATTGAGGGGTCATAGAGGGAGATTGAGGGGTCATCGAGGGAGATTGAGGGGTCAGAACTTGGCAGCCAGGCCTCGCAGTGCCAGCAGGTTCCTGCCTCACGTTGCTTCCCCAACGTAGCGGGGGCCAGAAGGGGTAGGAGAGCCAGCTGCAGGTGAGATGGCATTTATTCTATTCTCTAATGCTACAAAAATGTCTTTGATGCCCCTGGCCCCCTCCCCACGTGGGGAGATCAAAGGCTCCGTGGGAAGGAGGGACAGCTCCATTCATCACAGCCTTCGGCTCACTTGCTCGCTTGCTCGCAAGGGCTACAGTCCCTGCTCCTCCCCTCCGGCCCACATGCCCCAGGGGTGCTGAGGGACAGGTGGTGGGGGCATTCCACAGCAAGGGCCTTGTCTCCAAACCACCATTTTCTATCTAGAGTGGCCATCAACCTTCAGGAATGTATGGGGTGGGGAGGGCACGGACTTCAAGCCCCGAGGCGCAGACACCTCAGGCTCCCACAGCAAGACTCCTGGTGGTATGGGTGGAGGAGTCCCTGAACTTGGAGAGGTCAGCCACTTCCAAGAAAAACACCCGTGGTGAACAGAGAAGGCATGTCTCTGAGTTCCTCAGAGAGCAGAGACAAGTGGATCAAGACGAGACTGGGGACCGAGGTGATGGGACAGAAGACCATAGGTGCCTACCCCACAGGAGGAGGCAGATCCGGGAAAGAAAAGGATGGGTACGAAGTGGGAAAAGGAAATGGAGACATGTTCCCCTGGGCACACAGGAAAGCCTCTGAGTTTGCTGTGAGCTCCACCCCAGGGCCCTGGTGTCTGGGCTGTGTTGTTGGTCTAATTCCTGGGTACAGAGAGTTCAGGTGAGGGGCTGGGATACTCCAGAAGGGGACAGGCCCTGTGGGGGGAGCTGGTGGCTGAGGGAGTTGGTGAGGAGGACATGGTCCTAGTGCTGCCCTTTCTCATTTTAACCCTCCACAGCATCCAGATGCCACGCATAGCCTTGCACCTATGAATTCTGTCCACAGTTGCTGTTTCTGCAAGGCAATGCCAACTCTGGGCACTGCACACTCAAAGACATGCCCAGGTTAGGCACACACTCAGGCCAGATGGTGCCCGAACAGACTGTTGGGGGCTCTGTGGGGGTCCCTGGAGGCTGCAGGTGGCCAATGATCAGCCCCCCCTCCCATCCACTGCCTGGGTTCTGAACCTCCTGCCCCCACCCTGCTACTGTTATTGCAGATTATGAAATGCTCTCCCTATCCTGCATTCTTCTTGAAGGCAAGAATTTTAATGTATTTGTCTTTGTCATCAGGGGACCAGGGCTCTGGGACCGCCCTGCCTCTGCTTGAGGAGGGAGCGCCCCAAATCTGGTCCCAGCTGCCTCCAGACCCCAGCTTCTCTCCATTACCACCCCCTCATGCCCTAGCTCTGCCCCTTGCCTCCCCCTTCTAAGACACAGTCTCTCTGTGGGGTGGATAAAAATGATGTTATTGAAACAACAGAATTGGGAGCAGTGGCAGGGAGCAGGGATCAGCTCAGGAAACTGGGGTGTTTGCCAAGAAGCCTTCTCCCCCGCAGGCGGCCTTTCTGCTCCTCCCCCCCCCCCCCCCACCTTTCCTACAAACACACACAGATAGCCCCATCCCTCCTGCAGTACTCTGTCTGGTCAGATCTTGCAGAATAGCTGGCCATCTCTGGACTCCCCAATTCCTTGTCCTCTCCTCCAGAGTCCCATTCCAGAATCAATCGGCTCAGTGGTGCCTGCAGAAGCACTGGGGCAGTACAGGTGTAGGCTGTAGTCTGTGATGGACAGGCTCCCAAAGCCTCAATTTCCAGGGCCTGGGTTCCAAGGGAAACCTTGCCTCTGCTCACTTCCTTTTGCCTTCTCTGCATTCTCATCTAGGAGTTGGCTGGCATCTGGGCAGAGCCAGAGCCCTTATTTTATAATTTCTGCCCTTATGCCCTCCAAACCTTCATGTAGATGATTTCAGAAGTTACTGAGACTTCAGTCCATCACTATCACCCTGGAAGACTTTCCACAGAGAAGGACCAGGACATAGAGACAGAGACACACAAAGACAGATCAAGATGCATACACCCCGCCCACCCCGCCCCCTCTCCCACACACAACTTGGCACAGACTTTCAGAGAACTCCACAGAAACCACAGGACAGCCTCATCTCCCCCAGACAATGCTGGATAACCCACACATATGGATGGACACACAGACGGGCTGGCTCATGATGAGACTCATACCTTCTTCTCTGGAGATCAAATGTGCGCGCGCGTGTGCGCGCGCGCGCACACACACACACACACACACACACACACACACCACCTCTGCACAGACATGCATGTAGAGAAAGGGTCACAAGAGATTGGAATGGGAACACAGCAGCCCAGACGTGAGCAACATGAATGGAATGGTGCCCCACTAATCCCCCTCTCTCTGTCCTCTGGGCACTGGGCACCCTCTACTCTTCCCCCCACTGCTCTGCCTTAAGTCCCAAGAACCTGTTAATTCCAAGTCTAGGCTCTGATGCAAGAGAGAGATGGAAAGGAGAGACATGGGTGTCTGGCTGTGGGTTTGAGAGGAAGGAGGGGTAGAGTTGGGGACTGTGGAGGGGGAGAGAGGCACCTGGAGAAAGATAACATCAGAATTGCTGCAGGCACAAGCAGAGCCCTCTGTCTCTGTCGGATTCTCTCTCTCTTTCAGTGTCTTTTCACGTTTCTCCTGTCTCCATGATTCGGTCTCTATTTGTGTCTGTCTCTAAATCACTTTCTCTGTTTCTTTGTTTCTCAAAAGGACTGGAGCTGCAAGAGCCCAGGAATTTGGGCCTGTGACCCTTCCCCTCCCAATAACCTCTCTCTCTTCCTCCCTCCCCATTGCCCTTTCTCCCTTCTTTCCCAGCAATGGGATCTAACTCTCATTCCTTTAGGATGGTGGCAGGGCTTCAGAATTCCTCAGGGCCTTGGGTCTCTGGGTCCCAGGAGAACAGAGGAAAGGCCAACTCTCTGGAGAGATGGAGGGAAGGAAACAGATAGAAAAAAGAGTCACTTTCCTCTCCCTTCTTTACCCCAAATCCCTCCACTCCAGCTTTCTCCAGCCCACCTGAAGTCATCAGAATGCACCTTCCTGCCAAAATTGGTTTGGCTCAGTGGATAGAGCATCGCCTGCGGACTGAAAGGTCCCGGGTTCGATTCCGGCCAAGGGCATGTACCTAGGTTGCGGGCACATCCCCAGTAGGGGGTGTGCAAGAGGCAGCTTGTCGATGACTCTCTCTCATCGATGTTTCTAGCTCTCTGTCCCTCTCCCTCTCTGTAAAAAAATCAATAAAATATATTTTTAAAAATACTACAGTTAAAAAAAAGAAAATAGAAAAAAAAAGAACGCACCTTTCCAGCTGAGAGGGTGAGAATTCAAATGTCCAAGCTTTAGCCAGGCTTGTCCCTGCCTTGCAGGCTAAGTTTCCTCTGAGACTCCCTCTGGGCCTTTGTCCAAGGGAACCCCCACTCCAGGCCCAGGGTCCCCACAGAGCCCACCTGCCTCCCATCTTCCACATCTCTCAACCCCATCCATGTCCCCAACCTTCCTATCACCCCATCAGTCAAAGGGAGAAAGAAGAGGGGGGAGGAGAGAGCAGGGGATGAGAGGGAGGGGCTGCTGGCCCACCAGGACTGGGCTAGGAAAAGCCAAGGAACATTTGTTTCCACTTAGCTCGGCCCCAGTGGCTCTGAGTGGGAGCGGTAGGACCCAGGAGCTTCTCCAGCCATCCCAGTCCAGGCCCAGCTCCTGCTTTATGGATAGTGGAGTGGGCAGGAGGACTCTGGGTATTCTGGGGGAGCCCCTACCCTCTTCTCAATGCGCCATTCTTTTCCAAGTCACACCAGTTATCCAGGCTGTGTCAGCTCTCACCTCTGAGGAAACCGGGCTCTTTAATCAGTTCTTCAGACCCAGACTCTCTCCTAATTGTATTGGTGTCTGCTGGCTATCATCCCTCCCTGAGCAGCAGTCAGCAAACTTTTAATCGAACACCTACTATGTACCAAACACCCAGCCAGATAGTGGAAAAACAATGGTGAGCAAAAGCAGACATCACCCCTACCCTTAGGGAGCCGACAGTCATTAATCATAGCATCTCACAAACAATTGGAAATCCACAACCTTGACCTGTGAAGGAGAAAGAAGGGGGGGCTGTGAGAGGCTCTGGTTGGGGGACTGGCCAAGTCAGGAAGGTGAAGAAGGCTTTTCTGAGAAGGGA